ACTAAGGATTGAGAAACTCACTCAAAACTGCACAACTACATGGAAACTAAACAACCTGTTCCTGAATGACTACTGGGTAACTAATGAAATGAAGGCAGAAATAAATAATTATTTGAAACCAATGAGAACAAAGGCACAACATACCAGAATCTCTAGGACACAGCTAAAACAGTGTCCAGAGGGAAATTTATAGCACTAACTGACCACAGGAGAAAGCAGGAAAGATCTAAAATCAACACCCTAACATCACAATTAAAAGAACTAGAGAGACAAGAGCAAACAAATTCAAAAGCTAGCAGAAGACAAGAAATAACTAAGATCAGAGCAGAACTGAAGGAGATAGAGACATGAAAAACCCTTCAAAAAAAATCAATGAATCCAGGAGCTGGTTTTTTGAAAAAGATTAACAAAATAGATAGACTGCCAGCCAGACTAACAAAGAAGGAAGGATAGAAGAATCAAATAGACACAATAAAAAATGATAAAAGGCCTATCACCACTGATCCCACAGAAATACAAACTACCATCAGAAAATACTATAAACACCTCTATGCAAATAAACTAGAAAATCTAGAAGAAACGGATAAATTCCTGGACACATACACCATCCCAAGACTAAACCAGGAAGAAGTCAAATGCCTGAATAGATCAATAACAAGTTCTGAAATTGAGGCAGTAATTAATAGCCTACCAACCAAAAAAACCTGGGACCAGACAGATTCACAGCTGAATTCTACCAGAGGTACAAAGAGGAGCTGGTACTATTCCTTCTGAAACTATTCCAAATGATAGAAAAAGAGGGACTCCTCCCTAACTCATTTTATGAGGCCAGCATCATCCTGATAGCAAAACCAGAGGTACAAAGAGGAGCTGGTACCATTCCTTCTGAAACTATTCCAAACAATAGAAAAAGAGGGACTCCTCCCTAACTCATTTTATGAGGCCAGCATCATCCTGATAGCAAAACCTGGCAGAGACACAAGAAAAACAAAATTTCAGGCCAATATCCCTGATGAACATCCATGTGAAAATCCTCAAATACTGGCAAACCAAATCCAACAGCACATCAAAAAGCTTATCCACCACGATCAAGTTGGCTTCACTGCTGGAATGCAAGCCTGGTTCAACATACACAAAACAATAAATGTAATCCACCACATAAGCAGAACCAATGACAAAAACCACACAATTATCTCAATAGGTGCAGAAAAGGCCTTTGATAAAATTCAACACCCTTCATACTAAAAACTCTCAATAAACTAGGTATTGATGGAACATATCTCAAAATAATAAGAGCTATTTATGATAAACCTCAGTTAATATCATACTGAATGGGCAAAAACTGGAAGCATTCCCTTTGAAAACTGGCACAAAACAAGGATGCCCTCTCTCACGACTCCTATTCAACATAGTATTGGAAGTTCTGGCCAGGGCAATCAGGCAAGAGAAAGAAATAAAGGGGATTCAAATAGGAAGTCAAATTATCTCTGTTTTCAGATGATGTGATTGCATATTTAGAAAACCCCATTGTCTCAACCCAAAATCTCCTTAAGCTGATAAGCAACTTCAGCAAAGTTTCAGGATACAAAATAAATGTGCAAAAATCACAAGCATTCCTATACTCCAATAATAGAGAGCCAAATCATGAGTGAACTCCCATTAACAATTGTGACAAAGAGAATAAAGTACCCAGGAATACAACTTACAAGGGATGTGAAGGACCTCTTCAATATCTACAAACCACTGCTCAATAAAATAAGAGAGGACACAAATTGAAAAACATTGCATGCTCATGGATAGGAAGAATTAATATCATGAAAATGGCCATACTGCCCAAAGTAATTTATAGATTCAATACTATCCCCATCAAGCTACCAGTGACTTTCTTCACAGAATTAGAAAAAACTACTTTAAATTTCATATGGAACTAAAAAAGAGCCCGTATAGCCAAGACAATCCTAAGCAAAACGAACAAAGCTGGAGGTATAATGCTACCTGATTTCAAATTATACTACAAGGCTACAGTAAACAAAACAGCATGGTACTGGTACCAAAACAGTTATATAGACCAATGGAACAGAGCAGAGGCCTCAGAAATAATGCCACACATCTACCACCATCTGATCTTTGACAAATCTGACAAAAACAAGCAATGGGGAAAGCTTTCCTTATTTATTAAATGATGCTGGAAAAACTGACTAGCCCTATTCAGAAAACAGAAGCTGGACCCCTTCCTTACACCTCATACAAAAATTAACTCAAGATGGATTAAAGACTTAAATGTGAGACCTAAAACCACAAAAGCCCTAGAAGAAAACCTAGGCAATACCATTCAGGACATAGGCATGGGCAAAGGCTTCATGACTAAAACACCCAAAGTAATGGCAACAAAAGCCAAAATTGACAAATGGGATCTAATTAAATTAAAGAGCTTCTGCATAGCAAAAGAAATATCATCAGAATAAACAGGCAACCTACAGAATGGGAGAAAATTTTCATGATGTATCCATCTGACAAAGGGCTAATATCCAGAATCTACAAAGAACTAAAACAGATTTACAAGAAAAAAATAACCCAATAAAAAAGTGGGCAAAGGATATGAACAGATACTTCTCAAAAGAAGATATTTATGCCGCCAGCAAACATATGAAAAAAAGCTCATCATCACTGGTCATTAGAGAAATGCAAATCAAAACCACAATGAGATATCATCTCACTCCAGTTAGAATGGCAAACATTAAGAAGTCAGGAGACAACAGACGCTGGAGAGGATGTGGAGAAATAGGAGCACTTTTCCACTGTTGGTGGGAGTGTAAATTAGTTCAATCATTGTGGAAGACAGTGTGGCACTTCCTCAAGGATCTGGAACCAGAAATGTCATTTGACACAGCAGTCCCATTACTGGGTATATACCCGAAGGATTATAAATCATTCTACTATCAAGACACATGCACATGTATGTTTACTGCAGCACTGTTCACAATAGCAAAGACTTGGAACCAGCTCAAATGCCCATCAATGATAGACTGGATAAAGAAAATGTGGCACATATACACCATGGAATACTATGCAGCCACAAAAAAGGATGAGTTCATGTCCTTCACAGGGACATAGATGAAGCTGGAAACCATAATTCTCAGCAAACTGACACAGGAACAGAAAACCAAACAGCGCATGTTCTCACTCCTAAGTGGCAGTTGAACGATGAGAACCCATGGACACAAGGAGGGGAACATCACACACCAGGGCCTGTCAGGGGGTGGGGGGCTAGGGGAGGGATAGCATTTAGAGAAATACCTAATGTAGATGATGGGTTGATGGGTGTAGCAAACCACCGTGGCACGTGTATGCCTATGTAACAAACCAGCACATTCCGTATATGTATCCCAAAACTTAAAGTATATATATATATAAAAAAAACAGAAAGAAATAAGGAAATGACAAGAAAAAATTCACAGAAGGATGTGGCCAATAAATTTATGGAACTAGATAAAACATCTAATTATAAAAAATATGTGCAATAAAATGAGAATCACATTTTTCTTCTATATAATTGGTAACTGTTAAACAGATTATATGAAAATGATACATTTTCAAATACCCTTGGGGGAGTTTAGACTGTGACAAACTTTGCTGGTGGGTAAATGAGAAGGATTTATCAACTTTTAAAATATTTGTAATTTCTGATTCAGGAATTCTATATCCAGTAATTTATATTACAGAAATACTTGTACTGGTGTGTGTATATATGCATACTTTCTGCAGCATTATTTGTATCAGCAAAAGAACTGAAGCCTAGTATCTGTCTAAATATCTTTCTACACCCCTATTAGACAATAGCGTGCATAGAGAGTAGAACATTACACAGCAGTTAAAATGGTATTCGTTTTATATGTATCGTTTTGAAAATATGCCAATTATATTTAGTATTTCCTTGTTTGAAAGTCTGGACAAACTCACAGGAACTTTTTTTTTTTTTTTTTTTTTTGAGACAGGATTTCACACTGTTGTCCAGGCTGGGGAGTTCAGTGATGTGAACATAGCTCACGGCGTCGCTGACCTCTCGGGCTCAAGTGATCCTGCTGCTTCAGCCTTCTGAGTAGCTGGGACCACAGGCGTGTACCACCATACCCAGCTAATTTTTAAATTTTTAGTAGGGATGAGGTTTCACCATGTTGCCCAGATTGGACTCAAACTCCTGAGCTCAAGTGATCTTCCCACCTTGGCCTTCTAAACTGCTGGAATTACAAGCGTGAGCCACCACACCCAGCCTCACAGGAGTTTCTTAATAGTTGGTTACTCGGTAAATGAGAATGGTGAGAGATGAAGGCCTTTAACTTCATACTTCATACACTTACAAATTGTTTGAGCCTGTTACATTTCATCGTTTCTGAATGACCTTTAGTACAACATTGAAACTGGGCATCTGACATCCTCTAAAATCTATCCCCAGTGTATCATTCTAACTTTGTCTTCTTATCACTGTGGCTCATGGTTGTTTAAAAAACACATATGAACTTGCTTCATATGTGCTTTATAACACAAAACCTCCCTCTCCAGGTTTTAGTGGGAACATGGACCTATCAACACCTTGATTTCCCTCTTCTAGCCTCCAGAAGGGTGAAACGATACATTTCTGTCGTTTTAAGTCATCCAGTTTGTCGGCCTTTGTTATGGGAGCCCCAGGAAATGAACACAATTCCACAGCACTTCCTACACACTACGATGTATATATAAATTGCTTAGTTAGAATCTGTTGATTGACCAAAATGAAGCTCCCCTCTCCCTCGCAAAAAGAAATTGAGTTTGCCCTTTTGCTCTGTGAGATCATAGTTAACATTTTTACTTGCATTCAAAGTCGATTCATTTGTAGGTGTTAAGAAGTGCACCTTTGGCTGTCAACAGCGCCACATATTGGTAATTCAAAAGTGTTACATCATTATAAGGAAGAGGTCTATAATGAAATCTAGAATAATGTTAGTAGACTGAGAATGACTTACCTATTAAAACTTCATGAATAATGCTGCCATTTGATAGCATTGATAGATTTCCATGTCCTGCAGGTGTCTGCAAAATCCCAGTAAAGGTGAAATTATTGAAATAATAGTAGATACTATGCTTGTCCCATAGTATTAATTCTGGCAGTGCTGAAAACATAAAATGTGGAATGAAAACACTGTCAATAGGGGCATCTAATGTAAGGTCTTGGGAAATCCACTGTTTCGTATCTTCATTATATATCACTAAGAAAATCTTTTTGGTGATGGTACACACAATGCAATAATTTAAAAAAACGGCAATCTCCAGAGGGTGTCCTGTATACTGAACAGAGTGGATAGTCACAGTAGCAGTTACTGGTAGATTTAGGATATTTTTCAGTTCTGTGGTAGTTACTAATCTGGCAAATTTAAAAAGAATATATCCGAGGTAAATTTCATTTTCTGTCCAGACTGCCAAGTTGCTTCTTCTTCCTTCAGCCTGTGACAAAATGAAAAATGATAAGAAAAAATCTTTGATTTTAGAGATGGGTCTAACAATTTCTCTTTTTTTAATTTTATTTTTATTTTTTAAAAATTGTACTTTAGTAGGTTTTTGGGTGTTCAGGTGGTGTTATACGAGTAAGTTCATTAGTGGAGATTTCTAAGATTTTGGTGCATCCATCACCCGAGCAGAGTACACTGTACCCAATGTAAGTCTTTTATCCCTCACCCTCTCTCACCCTCCCCCCAAGTCTCCAAAGTCCATTGTATCATTCTTATGCCTTTGTGTCCTCATAGCTTAACTCCCAAAGTCTAACAATTTCCATCTTCCAATCTGCTATATTTAAAAGATAGAGACCAGGTGTGGTGGTCTCATGCCTATAATCCCTGCACTTTGGGAGGCTGAGGCAGGAGAGTCACTTGAAGTCAGAGGTTTGAGACCAGCCTGGGCAATTCAGTGAGACCCCATTTCCACAAAGCTTCAAAATTAGCTGGGGGTGGTGGTAGGTGCCTGTAATCCCAGCTACTAGAGAAGCTGGGGCAGGAGAACCATTTTAACCTGGGAGATGGAGGTTGCAGTAAACTGAGATAGTGCCATTGCACTCCAGCTGGGGGACAAGAGTGAGACTTCGCTTCAAAAAAAAAAAAAGTAAATGCTAAGATTTGATTTGTTTCAATATATTTTTGAATAATATTTCAGGCATAGGAATACATTAAATAGAAATTTATCATATTAAATATAACCATAAAAATTATCTTAATAATTTTATTTTTTCATAAATTGTTTCTATCAGTAGGAATAATACATTTTAATTCCTTTTAAATCTTTTAAGCACATCAGCCTTGTCTTTCTTTATATATTTATCAGTCTGGCCAGGAGTGCCCCTTTGACCTTGATGTTTACTAAGGTCAACATACAAGGTCTCTTCAAATGGTAACTCATTTCTGGAATTCTAGATTCCTTGGTTACCAGATAAAGAGAAAAGAAAACTTAAAATCTCAGACAAACAAATTCTACCCTTTTATGGACATAGGCTGTTAGATGGGAAGGGTGGTCAGAAACTGCTGTGCCTGAAACTCGGTAGGCCTAATTTTATCAAGAAGTCCAAGGCCTCCCTTCTCCTCTGTCTCCTTTCCCCACTGTTCTAATTTTTAGGGATTTTTACTTAAAATGTAATTTCTATATTTTGAACACATTGTCCTCATTTTACTTAATGTACAAATATTAAGTGTATACTGAAACAGGAGGTGGGCAGGTATCAAACCGGTAATCAAAGACAGACACAATTTGGGGTAAGAGGTCATTTTGCTAAATGTGGATCCACTTTTAAGTATAGAGCTTACATTGCTGGAAATGAGTGAAACAATCCTTAAAGAAGAAATAGAAACAAAATGATGAGTCCTTCATAGAAGGAAGAGCCATTCTCATTCTTGTCAGAGAGATGGGAAGAGGAACATGTCATAAACATGATAGATGAGAATTCCAACGATTCCCAGTCAAGGAGTGAGTTTTCACTCTCACCCACAAACTCTTTCCCACATAACTCCAGTTAATGCTTCGGCATAATCCTGCAGGTGAGGTGAAAGATCCTTCTGAAGCATTCAAGGTCTCTTAAAAATGTAAGAGAGTAACTCTCTGAAGGCAGGAAAGGCGCATACATCAAGGGGAAAGTTGAGAGAAACCCATCCACACTATGAATTCTCAGCTCCATGACTCAGAGTGGGATAAGAGAGTGGAGAGGAACTTTCTTTGAGCCACGCGTGGCCTCTACCCAGAGTCTAAAGCAGCCTCCCTGACAGGATTGGGACAGGGAGATAGGAGACAGAGGAGAGGGAGAGGGAAAAGGAGAGGGAAGTGTGGAGTGGGCAGGAGGCGAAGGGAAGGAAGAGAGGAAGATGGAGATATCCCCCAGTGCACCAAAATTCAGAGTCAGATGAGAAAGTAAAGATAATTGATCAAAAACGATCAAATGATCAATGATACAAAAGCTGGCAGCTAGGTTGTAAAGCAGAGACAGCTCTCCCAAGGATTTCGGAGGTTGGTGGCTTCACTGTAAAGTATAAAGAGATCTCTGGAATGTTGTCAGTGCTAAGGTACCAAGAATGTCTAAAAAGAAAACAACTATAATAAAAATGCTGAAGGGTCTAGTGGAAAATATGGGCAACACAGTGAAGAGATGAGGAACTTCAGTCATGATACAGAAATGATAAAAAGGAACAAAATGGAAATGCTAGAAATTAAAAAAAAATCAAGAATAAAGAAATAATTAGAGGAGTTCAAGACCAGTTTGGCCAACATAGCAAAACCCCATCCCTACTAAAGATAAAAAAATTAGCCATTAGTCCGGCATGGTGGTGCACGCCTGTAATCCCAGTTACGCGCAAGGCTGAGGCAGTAGAAGCACTTGAATCTGGGAGGTGGAGGTTGCCGTGAGCCAAGACTGCACCACTGCACTCCAGCCTGGGCAACAAGAGCAAAACGCCATCTAAATAAATAAATAAATAAATAGGCCAGGAATGCCTGTAATCACAGCACTTTGGGAAGCCACAGTGGGAGGATTGCTTGAGGCCAACAGTTTGAGGCAGCAGTGAGCTGTAATTTTGCCATTGCACTCCAGGCTAATTGACAAAGTGAGACCCTGTCTTAAAAAAAAATCAGATGGATTTAGCAACAAGCTGGAAAAAGCAGAGGAAAAGAGCAGTGAACTTGAAGACACGTTAATAGCATGCATACAAGCTGAAATACAAAGGAAAAAACAGTGAAAAAATAATGAACAGGTCACCTGAGATCTATGAGACAACATTAAATGGTCTCACACAGGTGTTTTTGGAATCCCAGTAGGAGAGGAAAAAGAGAATGAGGTGGAAGAAACATTTGAAGAGATAACAGCCATGGACATTCTAATATTAATGAAAGACATAAACCCAGAAACCCAAGAAACTCAACTGAACCTCAAGTAGGATAAATACAAAGGAAATCACATTTAGGCACATAGTAAAACTGCAGAAAACCAAAGATAAAAAGCTAATCTTAAAAGCAACTAGAGTGAAAAAGATTCATCATATACATGAGAACAATGATACAAATAATAGCTGACTGACCAAAAAGGATGGGGGCCATAAGATAATAAAATGGCATATTTATAACTTTCATTAAAAATAAAACAAACAAAAACAATAGAAGCCACCTGTCATCCTACAATGCTTTATTCTATTTTACGCACCAGTATAGGAGACAACATAGAAAAACTAAAAAATACATGATTCATCCAGATAAGGCAAGGAAGGATAAACAAAGGAAAGACGAACAAGCGGTATTAGTAGAAAACAAATGCCAAAATGGGAGCCTCAAACTGAACCATAGCAATAGTTACACTAAATCTAAGAAGACTAAACACTGCAATTTAAAGGCAGAGACTGTCACCCTGGATTAAAAAAAAGCAAGAGCTTGTATGTGGTATATAAGAAACACATCTTTAACATAAAGTCACAGACAAGTTGATTATAAAAGAATAGACAAACAGACACTGTACAAGCACTAAAGAAAACTAGGGTGGTTATATTATTAAGACAACTAAAACCAAAATGAAATATCACTTTTCACCCACTGAGTTTAAATAATAAAAGAATAGACACACTAAAGGTTGGTGAAATGTGAAACTACTATGAAACAAGTTGCTATAAATATTTGTAAATATAAATATTTTAATTACTATGGCTTTATGATAAACCTTGGTATGTGGTAGAAGAAATACTACTACTCTAACCCCTCCTAGCCCTCAGGTCTTTATTCTTTCATATGTATTTTAGAATCAGTTTACTGAATTCCACAAAGTAAGATTGGTATTTTGATTGGAGTTGTATCAAATTTATAGATAAATTTGGGAAGGATTGAAAATTTTTATAATATTCTATGTTTCTACCCATGAACATGATATAGCTATCAAATTGTTCAGGTCTTTACTGTTTCTGATAACATTTTATTTTTATCTCAATACATTTTTAGTGGCATTTATTTCTAGATATCCTTACTTTTTTCTATTTTGAATTTTCATATAAATTTTAGAATCAGATTCTCAATTTCTATAAAAAAATCTCACTGGGATTTTAATTGATGTGTCACTGAATTTTTCAAGAATTGATGTCTTGAGTTTTCCCACCCAAGAATATATTTCTCCATTTATTTATTTTATTTTACCCAGTAATGTTTTGCAGTTTTTAGTGTACACATTTGCAAATATTTTCTGAGTTTATCCTCTAGTATTTCATATTTTTAATCCAATTGTAAATTGTATTTTCAGAATTTCAGCCAGGCTCAGTGGCTCATGCCTGTAATCCCAGCACTTTGGGAGGTCGAGGTGGTGAATCCCAAGGTCAGATGTTCGAGACCAGCTTGACCAACATGGTGAAACCCCGTCTCTACTAAAAATACAAACATTAGCCAGCCATGAGTGAGGCTCTGTCTCAACAACAACAAAAAATAATTTCAGTTTATAATTGCTCATATAAAATACAATTGATTTTTGTTTTTGAAAATTATTTTTACTTTTATTTTTTATTTTTGTATAGAGACAGGGTCTCACTATGTTGCCCAGGCTGGTCTCAAACTCCTGGGCTAAAGAGATCCTCCCTCCTCAGCCTCCCAAAATGCTTGGATTATAGGCATGAACCACCACATTGGCCTGGTTTTTATTTTTTATTTGTTAGAATCTATCTTATTGTTTAGTTTTTTTCCTCAGAGATCCCTGTCTTGACTAGCCAGATTTTTAAGACATTGGTCTTATATCTTTCAATCTTGGTAAACACACTTATTATCCCTGATAGTTAAAAAAAATTCCATCAGCTAATGATTCCATCAGCATTTCTGCATCTAATAGTGTTGTTTGTAAAGACAGTTTTACTTCTTCCTTTCTAATCTAAAACGTTTTATTTGTTTTCTTGACTAACTGCACCTGCTAGAATCTCTAGAGCAATGTTAAATAGAAGTGATGTGAGCAG